ATAATATTATTATTTATTACGATCACAAAATCACAAAAATGTAATAATATTAATAACATTATTATAAATGTGAGCGCACACACTGAGTCTACTACAACACGCTGTACACCGGTCCGGTGCGGTGGGGTGTGCGCCCGCGCGTTCTAAACGGTTCTAAAAACCGGGCGCCCGCCACAGCCGACACAGCCGCCGCCGCCGTCTCTGCTCAGCACGCAAACAGCCCGAGGATAACCCAATTACCGTCGCACGCCGACCGCCGCCGCCGCCGCCTTTCTGATGGATTGTTTACATTATTGAATCTCGCCTGTATGTCTGCCGTCGCGCCGGGCCAACCACCACCGCCGCACTCACGCACACGCGGCGCGCGCTTCACACAGACACGCACACGCACGCAAGCAGTCCGTCTACAGTCCGCGACGACTCATCCCCCACCCCGCACAGGACTTTTTTTAAGATATTTTTTTTTTTGTTACATTGACGCGTTCCTTTATATATGTATATTATTTTCATTTTTTTTTGGTTTTTTTATTTCTTTGTGATTTGATGATATTAAAATAATAAAATATACACAAGTATACATTTGCAGGGTGGTTCGCCGACTGCCGAGCACGCTCACCCCCATTTTCTACAAAAAAGCGTCCATCAAAATCTCGTTTTTGGAATTTTTAAATTTAAAATTGTTGACATTTTTTGTACTAGCTACTCAAGGAGCAGAATCATGTGCCAATACAAACTTCTATTTTTCAAATGAGACCCCCATTTTTTACTGCATATAATAATATAGAGGAATATATTTTTGAAATTTTTTGAGTGTTGACGCGTATCCAAATCGAAATTAGTAATCATTTTAGAATAGTAAACATTCCAAAAAGTCAGAATTAGAATAAATTCATTACCTATTAAAGGGAAAACTATGGGTGCTAAATCCGTAAGCACCGGGTAAATCACCACCGCGCTGAATTTCCCTGTATATTTTTATATTACTATAGTACGTCTCAAGTGCTTATAATTTCGGCGAACGATGGTTTAAATTTTTCATAGTGCACTGATAACGGCTCACAGTTCACCAGCTCATTGCATGAAAAGTCAACGTGTGACCGTTTTTTTTGGCGCGGGTTCATAAAGATTAAGGTTTTTGTATTTTTGTATTTCTAAGAAAAACTAATCGGTTCTTTACGAGTATACGGTATATAAAATAATATAATTAACATAGAATGTAATATCGCATAAGGTATTCAGGCGTATGCAATTATACGAAATAATTTGGTATATTTCCATAAATTTTATTATAAATGTTATTATTATAATATTTTATAATGCTTGTTCGTTATGTGCTTATATGTTCGGTGATTGGGTAAGCCGAATCGAAATCGTTTACGATTAACATAATATATAATACTAAGGAGTTTGGCGTACAACGTTGTACGTTGTGCGTACCTATGTTAGCCATTATAATATTATATAGTACCGGTTGGAAGAATTGTTTGATTATAATTTTATCGAAATTCACGGCATAAACATATAATACAGTCTGATATTATAATGACACCGGATCTATGAGAAAGCGGCGTGAGTAACGAGTAACAACGACGTCTCAACGTCGACGACATTAATACAATTATTACGATGGAACAAATTGGTTCAGGCTCGATTCCGAGGACGGTTAAGTAAAATATATATGTATATATTTAAACGACGTCGCCGCCGTATGATCACAAAGAATTCCCACACATAAATTTAATCATAAAGTTAATTAGTGGTTTGCAACCCTTTTCGAATGAGACGTTACAAATATTACGTCCAATATTAACGGGTGAAGACGGCCGTCGGTCGCTATATTTATACATATTATATATAAGATATATTTTTTTTTTATAGTTTATACTATATACCTACATAATAGACCAGGTCGGATTCCGCTCGAGGAGGTATAAATAAGGACCCAAACGCATACTATTTATAACGATGGGACTTAACGGGTCTCGGTGGTCGGAGTTTAAACACGAAAACATTACTGAAATGGCTGTTGGAGAATCTCGAGGTATCGTCGCAGCTATAGGTATTTGTATATAAATTATAAGCATAATATATTATATTATTGTCCATATCTTGAAATCGAATCAATTTCCATTACGCGTTGATATTTATATAGGACCAGTGGACTGAGGTTGGATAGTATATTATAAACTATTCAATTCCGATATAAAACCGTAGAGTTGAAACAACCTAAACACCCCATAATTACATTTTTGCTAAAGATTCTTATTTTAAATTATAAGTTATCTATAATATTAATTCTTTAATCCCTATGTTATAAAAGTATCGAAATGCGAAGCAGTATTATAAAAGGTAATATTTATAATTTTTGATTGAAATAACAACTTTTTAAAATATAAGAATTGCGGTAAGTTTAAAATCCCCACAATAAATATTAATATATATTTTGTATGAAAATAAAGTGTGCAGTACGAAAATATTTAGTCATTTTATCCTCAGAGTAGTCTATAATATTGATATATATTTTTGCCCAGGCTCAATATAGTTTTTCAAGTTGACAGCTGTAAACAGTTGTAGATGCTGTACAGTTGAGACTGTATATTATATACATTTGTAAATTGTAATTGTAAGTGACCATTGTGTTTAAAGGTAATGTAAGTATTCTTATTGCCTGCAGTTAAACTAACCGACAGTGATATATCTCCTAAAATAAGCAATATTTATTCGAAAACGTATTGGTGCATAGTATTATAATAGAAGCCAATTAGTTAAAAACTGTGTATCAATATTCAATATTATCAATATTATAATATTATTGTTTTATCAAAAACGCAATTAATATTGACCGAAAAGACTAGTGGCTTTTAAACAAAACATCTCTTTAATAATATTATATACCGCAGGTCTACACAGCGTCATAGGTATATATGTATATAATATATATATAGGTATTATAGGTTTATACTATACAGGAGGATATAATATTACTTATTAGTCTATCGGGAGTGGACTTGAGCACGTACGAGTTCACATTGATTGAAACACATCGAGCAGATGGTGTGTGTGTGTGTGTGTGTGTGTGTGCGCTCGCGCGCGCGAGAGAGAACGGCCACCGCGATCGGCGACCACACGTGATACGAGTCTGACCGGTGTGTGTGTGCGTATGCGCCTCCCGTCACCGCCTATCGACCTGTGCGGGGGGCCCCGCGGCACCGTTGGACACACACACACTCACTCACACACACACACAGTCACAATACAGAGGTAGTGTGGTGTTTATTTAACGTTTACACTATCATTTGGGACTTGTGGAAATTGGGTCGTTAGCGGTAGGAATTTGTTGTTGTTGATGTTTTTTTTTTTGACAATAACATTTTAATTTATCTTAAAACTATAATTGGGCAAAATCATTTTCGAGCAAAACGGGTAGCCCCGTTTTGCGTAATGTACTCAATTTTGGCGTCTTGATAAGGATATGAGTATGTTATTATTATTATGATTGTGTTAAACCACAACAAATTTATGTTTTATACGACCGACAAAAATCAATCATAATTAGTAATCACATATTTAATAAACAATCTATAGGTACCTATTATTAATTATCCACAATATACCTTCGATAAGCCAATGTATTGTTATACATTTTGTGAACATATTAATTGCTACAGCTTTGCAATGAGAACAGAATATGAATTAAAATATGAATTTATCTGGTACTTATTCTGATATATGATACATCATAAGTTATAACAGCAGCATATCCAGCATAGAAGGATTGTACGACTTGTCCTATTTACTTGTCACTTTAAATGGAAAATCTCATCACCGGACATATGTTAGTACATACTTCGTTACATTTAGGAAAGTTTAAAATACGCTATAATAGGCTATTTTATTAAACAATATTAAAATTTTAACTTTTGATTTTGAACGATAGAAATTCACTATAAGTGTTTAATATTATATACAATTTATGTACTAAATCTTAAATTAAATCGACCATTAGCCATTCAAATATAGGTATTTATAAAATGAAAACTGTTTTTTCAAAAATGATCGATCATATTTTATATTTTATATTTATACATTTTATTGTGTATAAATAGTATAATATGTACGGCGATTGGCTACTACATAAATACTTCTTTAAGATAAAGTTATTAATACCTATATTTTTTTATCCACTTGTCTGTTCCTCATCAATATTATGAATAGAAAAATATATTGTTTATTTATAATAGGTGATGGAGTCACAATTTTTAAAAAATCACTTTTTTATAAGTAACATTTTATGTTCTGTATGATAAACGTAATACTCTAGTTCAAAATGTATATGGAAATTATTCAAACATTTAGTTGATATATATATGAGTAGTGCTAAGTTGCTAACTGTTAGTGCTGGTAGTTTGTTTTATTTTACCGAAAGTCTTACTTTTTGGACTTAATTTTGGACCCTTTTCATGAATAATGTATTCAAAGTAAACTGAGAAATAACAGTTAAAAAAAATCCATCTAACTTTGATAATTAATTTTATTCAATTTAAATTTTAAACGGTTCCTTTTCTATTGGTATATCTACATTTAATTAACTATCTTATTTTCAGTATTGTTTTTCAGACGTATAATATGCAGCCGATGTTGTTTGTTTTTATATAGTTGTTAATTGTTTGAATTATATAAGTGTATAGATACTTAATTGAGTGATTATATACACATCATTGATGTTTTAATAACATACTTAGAGTGGCCATAACAAATTGAATAAATAGTAATCGAACAATCTATCGAATTCATCCATATCAAATATCAATGAAACGGATATAACAGTTTTGGGACAAAAAGAAAATTCTAAAGAAAAGACCCATTTTTTCTTCGACTTAGTCTACATAACGGGGTTAAGCGAGGTACAAAACACAAGGATTACAGCGAGAAACTATGATAGTTTATGATAATTTATAAGCGTATTGCCCGATCAATGTATAATACATTATAATACTCACTGTTGTCCGGTTTGGAATTAACTATTACTTGGGCCGACGTAATAGCCACATGGCCGGTTTGGACTCCGGTACCTCTGCACTCATACTTGCCTCCGTCTTCTGGCCTCACCTTTGGTATCACAAGCATGGATCTTTTCCTGGAACATCGCGATGCGGTTATAACATTGTAGGACGAAAGCAGGCATTTGTGCTAAGCGATATAATTACTATTTACTTTTTATATTGAATCCTTCGCCTGCCCACCAAAATCGGTTGGCCGTCTTTGAACCATTGTAGAGCGGGCATCGGGTTACCTTTGGCTCTGCACATCAATTTCAAAGCGCTTTTGACTTTTAACGTTGTGTTGTGAAGTCCCCACACACCGATTGGCTGAACTATAAACAGAACGCAATAAAATTAATTTGTTAATTTATTTTATCTTAGTATTTGTTTATAAAACTCGGGAGTTGGGAGTACAAACAACGATCATTACTATGATAAAATTTTCGTTATTTTTAGTTTTCAAACATCTTTAAATTAAATTCCAATAACATTTGCATAATATAAGTCTTATCCCGACGGAAATGTATTTTTGTTCTCTACTTTAATATATTATTATACAGCGTGTGGTGTGCATAATATTTGTGTGGGCTTAATATATAATAATGTATGTATATTATACTAATAAAACAACTTAACATAAATTTAAAAATAAAATGCAAAATATGATATGCAATAATAAAAAAAATTACGTGAAATATTAAGGCAGTGATGACTTTTAAACTGAGCACAGTGTAGAATAAAATATGATAATATTATATATTATTTTATATAACAAATACAATATATATATATATATATATAGTAAATACATAAATACATGCATATATACATACATTCATACATACATTCATGTATATTGTATATAATATAATATATATATGGATGAAATACATCGCAGCGACTTCAGAGATCACGCCAGGCCGCCTCTGCCATGCGAAAATACAAGAATCTTCAGAAATTCCTACGCGGACGTGCGACTCTTGTTCGATCACGTGTATATATTATATACAATATATATGACGTAGGTATACCATATATATAATATACTCGCGTAAAATTCCTTCGATACCTTTTAAGGTACAGGTATTTGATATAAATATATATAATGCAATAATGCATAACATATTTGTAGCTATAAAGTACACAACTACCACGCAGAGTATCTTGCGATCGTTGCTAAGGGTCGAAGACGATCGTTTTGCGATTGAATATGGTTGAAATACGACAGTTATACTCGTCATCGGTTATTAAAATAAAATAATTCCAAGTAATAGCTTAAAATGTAATATTGTCAAAAAATAATTTGAATCATAGAATGTGGAAATTGGAAAACCTTTAACCATAGGTACGTTATTAATTTAGACCGTGATTAATATAGATTTTTTTTTAAAAATTGTATTTAGGATTCGATAGGTACTCGACAGTTTCAAAGTTTTTAAGTTACAGGCTGTTTCACCAAGCGTCCAAGCATGCTCACCCTATTTTCTCTTCAATATGCATTTTTTTTTAAATATGATTTTTAGAATTTTTAAATATACTTAAAGACCATATTTTCAAATTTTTGATATTTTTTGTCTACTTAAAGAGTGCTTTGCAGAGATATCAAATTGTGTTTTTAAATGAGAACCCGCCTTTTCAACTGTAAATTATTCAGTGGATAATTTTTCTGAAACATTTGACGTATCAGAATCAAAATTCGCGTTAAATCAAAAATCGTGTAGTTTTTGAATTATTTAACTTTGTGTTCTAAGGATAAAAGCTCCATGATATTGTGGGGTATGATGATTTGAGAATTTTAATTATTAATATTAATCTATTAAAATTAATAATTTGTAAAAATGGCCTAATATACTTAAGTATAATATTAAATACTATAGGTACTCTGTCCAGCGAGGGAACGCGCTTTGGGTCGTCCAAACTTGGGTTTTCTGCGCATCTCTACGCAGCACCCTGCCATAGCAGAATTGGTATGCAGAATTTGAAGATTTAAATATTTGTTCTGTTGCCATATCTGGGTAGGGAGTAGCAAATTTAACCTAAACTTTGTCTCCTTGAAAAAATTTCAAAAGAGCAAGTTCCTCCCTTGCCCCAACCACTGGCTATAATACCTATAATTCCCATTTTATTCAGGCCACACCATGTATAAATTTCAAATTTTTAGAAGACAAAACCAAAACGATGATCACTGCAATCCTAGTCGCGACTCGCGAGACTTTAAGTTTTGAACACTGCAGTGGCCTTGAGTTGCCCATCCCTTGGATATAGATTATAGGTACACATTACATATATTACTATAGTTCCGCGCAGTGACCGATTCAACACGTATGTACCTACCGACTGACTCTTGGTGGGTGTGTATGTGGTGCGTGGGGAGTGGGTGACCGGGGGTCTGCTTTGCACAAGAGTGTCCTGCATGGCCCGCTGGATACTATATAGCATACGTGACGCGGTTTATCAAAGAGGCAGACGACGGACACGGAAACCGTTCTCTCCGTCCGTCTGTCCTACATATCGGGATGCGTGCGACCGCAAAAACCGCCGTATGCCCATCTTTGACGACCCCACATGTGCGCACCGCGGATCCTTGACCCCGGACAGTCTGTGGCACGGCGTATAGTTTTTCTTTTTTTTCTACTCTCGCAGCTGTGCATTATTATTATCATCGTCGTCGTTCTCCGCGAGTTTTTTCCCCTCCTCCTACCATATAGTATAATATCCAACAGCGACGGAGCGGCCCAATGCATATTATATTATATTATATACCTATATAGGTACTATATTATGCCAGTACCTATGTTCCGTACCACGGTTGCTATGAGAGGGTCGTGAGGAAGAGATATCGCGCAGTGGAGCAGCTTTTGCGCTGGAGGATAGGTCGCTAGGTGTTTTTTGTTCCCACGTCACTACGTCGCCGATGAAAATAATATAATAACAACAACAATAATGAAAAAAAAAATCGCAAATGCCCTCGCGCCGGCTGCTACCGCGGTATATACGTCTCCGTGGACATATCTATATACGTGCGCATATATATATATACTTACAGCGTATATAAGTACGGATTACATATATATATATACATTATATACGAGTACGCATACATGTTTTGTAATGCACCATCGCCTAGGGCGGGGTGGCTCGACCGGCGGCGGCGGTAGCGCAGAGAGAGGCCAAGATGATGGGAATATTTTGTCGTTTGCCTATGTATGGGGGCTACGCGTATAGCTACTGTGGCAGTCCGGTTGTGCTCTCAAACGCCGACTATGGCAAGTGGCTCTCTTCACTTTACCACGCAGCCTATAGAGTGGGTTTTTGTATTGTGTATATTATGACATGTATGCGCAGCATTGTGGGTAACCTCGGTGGCCTCCGACGACGACGACGACGACGACTAGTCGGCGCGTTGTGACTAGACCTGTCGACGATCGGTAACGTCGTCAACCGGCCGACATTAATCGCGCAGGTGTGCGGCGGCGGCGGACGCGAGAGACGGTAGCCGCGTATATATCAGAGGTGGCCCGGGGCAGTTGTATATACTATACACGTATACTTAGCTATATAATAATGCTATATATAATATGTGCTCAGAGTGTATATGTGCTCATCATCTTACATATATGAGTTATAACACTGTCAACTCGTATAACATCACATCACCTTACGTGTCATATACGAATACGTATGTATACATATATATGACGTATAATACCTGTAACATGGTTTACGTTTACGAGAATTCCGCGGAGGTGAGCTTTTCGATATCCATTCCTGGGGCCCCCGCCTAACGTCGGCGGTACCTTGGATAATTATACCGTCGTGGCTCAACTCTGTCGCAATAATATAATATGGTAATAATCTGTGTATTATACAAAAAAGTTTTGGAAAATAGTTTCGTCAGACGTCAAATAATAACAGTGGCAACAACCAATATTAGAGTTATTTTGTACAATTTAAGATGATAAAGAGGTTGCGTTACGAAGAAAGAACTAACAAATGAGCCTGAATATATTGATATTGGTGATGGAAAAATATCAATATTATAATGATTCGTCTTTTAAAAATAAAAATGGAAAATCTGCTTAAAGTCACTGGGACAAAGCTTTGAGAAAGTTAGATTATTTAGTACATGTAAAGACACTATATACTTACATATGGTAGTAAAACACTTTATGATTTCAAGAAGGAAATATCGTGGGGAATTTGTGTAGCAAATTTGAGAAATTAACTGAAAATATTGTATATTAATTTAATAAGGCATTACGATTACAGTTACGTGTATTATATTTGATTTAAAATGTTAATAATTTATCTCAGCTAGCTAATTTTTGTATTATGTTATTAACTCTCAGCTAGAAAAAGAAAAGATTGAATGGGCGAGCTAAGCGACAGAGCCCTGTTGTTATTATTTAACTTAACAATAATATGCAGATGATGTGTAGGTATAAAGGTATGATAATAATTATATTATGTGTCCGACAAAATGAACCACGAGCGCAGACGAATAACCGCCGCCGCAAAGATAATATAATATGCGAGCGTATTTAACTATCGTACACGCCAGTAAAAATATGATAAAGTGTTAACAACAACAACGTCATAATAAACGGCTGAAAACACACACGACCGATGTACAGCCTATTATACCAGGTAGGCAGCTATAATAATAATAATATAATAATGGAATAACAAAATGTATTATTTATGGTCGGATCGATATAGTAGTTCTAAATTATACACCTATATTAGCATTCACGCACTGTTTTTCCGAGAACGGACATATTATTACAAGCGGATATAACCTGATGATCTCATTAAATTATTACTCGGGTATACGTTTAATATAGGAAGCTTGCGAATTTTTAAGTGCCGATTGCCGGCTTAAAAAATCCTCTGATGTTTTCTTATTTTAATTTTTTTGTCACTATGTATTCAGAAAATAATATTATTATCTTCTGTAAAAATGTTAATTTTGACATACAGATTTTAATTTTTAATATTGCACTTTTGATAACGACACTGACACTTATACGTTTTATGTACCATGATTTGCAATAGTTTACCAGACTGTTGAAGTGGTTGCTTGTTATAAAATATTCGTTATAATTAACTAAAATGAAGACATTTAAAAAAAAAAATTGGCTCTAGCAATGTAGAACATTAAAATAAATAAGGAATTCCTATATAAGCCCGCACTTCAGAAAAGTTAAACATAGTTCAAATTACTAAATACGAATAGCTGTAAACTGGTTGGAAAGTTATAAGTATAAACGTTGTTTCATACGGTGTGTTAATCGCTTTATCTTAACAAAATCAATACTGGTTTTAAATAAAT